TATGCAATTTAAGTTGATTTTACTGAGATTTTACTGAGATCTACTGAATAGATTTGTATACACTTCACCCCTGGTTACTAATTAGATGCTTAGAAAAGGCCTGACGATTATATAGTCAACTGAGTACCAAATCTAGTAACAGAGTTTGATCATTAGTGGACATCCTTGAGTTCAAAGTTTCAAAAATACTTCCCAGGATTAATATTCTAATGATCTGAGTATTCAAATGTAAATTGTCACATGTTTAAAATGCATGGAGGGACAGCCAAGGACTAAGGTAAAACTCTGGTAACCAAAGTTTTCACCAATGTTTCCTAAAAAAAATTTAGGAAATACAGTATACTGACAGTAAGGATTCACTCATTTGCAAATCATTTTTTATTTCTGTCATCATAAGTAACAAACAAAAAATGAAAATGTTGGTGAAACAAAAACCAAGCAGGCAAAAAAAATCAGGATATACAGAGAAACTGTTCAGAAATCAGACAGGCAGATGAAGGTTGAGAAAACACAAGTGCCTCAGGGCAAGGCAGATACATGATCAAAAGTCAAGCAAGCACAGGTACCAAATGCAAGGCAAAAATCAAACAAAACACTGACATTTATATGAGCCTCTACATACATTACCTCATTGGAGTCTCACACTACCTTGTAAGATACTCTGCATTTTATAGATGAGGAAAGAGAGACTACTGAGAGGTTGACCCGCCAGTGGTCACATACCTTTTAGTGACAGAGGCAGTACTCTGGCTTCCCTGAATCTACATCTAGAACTGGTTCTCAAAGATGCCATGCATCCTCAATTTAAAAAAAGGTAGATGGTAGAAGCAGAGCCAAGAAGTTCGAGAAAAGGCAGCACCTTGCCTGAGCTCTCCCCCTCTGAACAACTTTAAATAATACCTCAAAACAAATTCTGGAGTGGCAGAACCCACAATGGGATGGAGTGACACAATTTTCCAGCCAAAGACAACTTAGGTCAGCAGGAACGGTCGGTTGCCCCCTGGGTGAGAGTGCAGCACAGTACAATGTAGGCTGTGCCAACCCAGAATGGGTCCCAGCAAACCAGGAGCAGGCCTTCAGAGCCACTGAATCAGCAGTGGCAGCAACTGCTTCTTCAGCTCTCAGAACAGTAAGGGGGTTGAACAACTAGTCAGAAGGAAATTACAGGTGTCTCTTTGCTGGCACTGGGGGAAGGACTCTATTGCTTTGCCTATACTTGGATCCAGGCCACAGTGGGTAGCAATCCCACGTGAGGAGGAGCACTAGCACACCAGAGCTTGTGGCCAAAGTGGAATGGGGATCCTTGTCATAGTTCCAGGGCAGAAAAGAGTGCTTATATTCACTCACAGACCACAACACAGGTCAGGAGAGCGGTAAACATCTCTCCTTAGATCATATTACCTTGGAAGAACTGAAAGCTTACAGGTTCCTGGAAGTATCTCTGAAAACAGCTGCACAAAATCCCTGAAGCTTGGGATAGTGCACCCTCCACCCGGGAAGCTGAGCTACACTTTGGCAAAGAGTTAAAACTCAAGAAAGAGGCTGGGGAAATTCTGGCAATAGAAAGTTACTATGATAACATGCAAGATCAAAACACACACTCAGGAGACAACAAAGTCAAAGTGCCTACATCCAAAGCCTCATAGAAAAATATGAATTGGCCCCAGGCCATGGAAGAGCTCAAAAAGGATTTTAAAAACCAATTAAGAGAGATAGAGGAAAAACTGGGAAGAGAAGTGAGAGTGATGCAAGAAAATTATGAAAAAAGAATCAACAGCTTGGTAAAGGAGGCATAAAAAAATACTGAAGAAAATAACCTTAAAAAACAAAATAGGCCAAATTGTAAAAGAGGTACAGAAATCCAAGGAGAAGAATGCCTTGAAAAGCAAACTGGCCAAATGGAAAAAATGACACAAAATTTTACTAAAGAACTCAAAAAGTAGAATTGGCTAAACACGAAAGGAGGCACAAAAGCTCAATGAAGAAAATAATTCCTTAAAAACTAGAATTGAGAAGCTACTGACTTTACGATATCAAGAAACAATAAAACAAAACCAAAAGAATGAAAAAAAATAGAATACAATGTGAAATATCTCATCGGAAAAACAAATGACTTGGAAAATAGATGCAGGAGAGATAATTTAAAAATTTTTGGACTACCTGAAAGCCATGATCAAAAAAAGAGCCTAGACATCATCTCTCTAGAAATAATCAAAGAAAACTGCCATGATATTCTAGAACCAGAGGGTAAAACAAATTGAAAGAATCCACAGATCACCTCCTGAAAGAGATCCCAAAATGGAAATTCCCAGGAATATTATAGCCAGATATCAGAGCTCTTTAGTCAAGAAGAAAATATTGCAAGCAGCCAGAAAGAAACAACTCAAGAATTGTGGAACCACAGTCAGATTTACAAGATTTAGCAGCTTCTACATTGAAGGACTGGAGAGCTTGGAATATGATATTCCAAAGGGCAAAGGAGCTGGAATTACAACCAACAATCACCTACCCAGCAAAACTGAGTATAATCCTTCAGGGGGAAAAATGGAAATTCAATGAAACAGAGGACTTTCAAGCATTCCTGATGAAAAGACCAGAGCTAAACAGAAAACTTGACTTTGAAATACAAAACTCAAGAGAAGCATAAAAAGGTGGGAAGGAAAGAGAAATCATAAGGGACTTAATAAGATTAAACTGTTTACATTACTACATGGGAAGATGATACTTGTTAACTCATAAGAACATTCTCATTATTAGGGCAATTAGAAAGAGTATACATAAACATAAAATACAGGTGTGAGTTGAATATGATGGGATGATTATCTAAAAAAAATTAAGTGGTAAGAAAGAAGAATGTACTGGGAGAAGAGGAAAGGAAGAGGTAGAATGAGGTAAATTATCTCACATAAAAGGAGCAAGAAAAAGTTTTTACAGTGGAAGGAAAGATGGAGGAGGTGGTGGGGAACACTTGAATCTTACTGTAGTTGGAATTGGTTCAAAGAGGGAGTAACATACACACTTAATTGGGTAAAGAAATCCATCCTAACCTATGGGAAAGTAAGAGGTAAGGGGATAAGGGGGCAGGGGCTGATAAAAGGGAGGGCAAATTGAGGAAGTCGGTAGTCAGAAACAAAATATTTTTGAGGAGGGATAGGGTGAAAAGAGAAAGAATAGAATAAATGGGGGTGGGGGGAAAATAGGATGGAGAGAAATTGCAACCATTGCTGTGAAAAAAATGTGAAGTTTCTCTGATAAAATCCTCATTTCTCTGTGTGTGTGTGTGTATATATATATATATATACACACACATATACAATATATGTGTGTGTATATATATATATAGGGAACTGAGTCATATTTATAAAAATAAGAGCCACTCCCCCCAAATCATAAAGATATGAAGTCAGTTTTCAGATAAAGCCATCACAGCTATCTTTGAAATACGAAAAAAAAGCTATACAAAAAAAAGTTCTAAATCACTATTGAATGAAGAAAGCAAATTCAAACAATTCTGAAGTACCATTTCATACTTATTAGATTGGCTAATAGGAAAGAAAAGGAAAATGACAAATGTTGGAGGGAATGTGGGAAAACTGAGACACTAATGCACTATTGGTGAAGTTGTGAACTGATTCAACCATTATGCAGAACAATTTGGAACTATGTCCAAAGGGCTATGAAACCATGCAATAGCACTATTAGGTCTGTATCCCAAAAGAGAAAAAAAAAAGGAAAGGACCTATATGTACAAAAATATTTATAGCAGCTCTTTTTTGGTGGCAAAGAATTGGAAATTGAGGAGATGCCCATCAACTAGAGAATGGTGAACAAGTTGTGGTATATGGGTCTGATGGAATACTACTGTGCTATAAGAAATGATAAGCAGGATGTTCTCACAAAAACCTGGACTTAAATGAACTAATGCAAAATGAAATAAATAGAGCCAAGAGAACACTGTAGACAGTAACAGAAATATTGTAAGATGATCAACTGTGAATGATTTAGAATTTATTCTCAGCAATACAATGATCAAAGACAACTCTGAAGGACTTATGATGAAAAATGCTAACCATTCCCAGAGAAAGAACTGATGGAGTCTGAATACAGACCAAAGCATACTTTTTTTACTTTATTTTTCTTGTTTTTTTTTATTTGTTTTCTTTAGCAATACGACTAATGTGGAAATGTTTTGCATGACTACACTTGTCTAATCTATATTAAATTGCTTGCCTTCTCAATGAGGAGGGCGAGGAGGGAAGAAGAGAATTTGTAACTCAAAATTTTAAAAACTAACGTTAAAAATTGTTTTTATATGTAATTGGGGAAAAATAAAACATTAAATAAATTTTTTAAAAAAAGGTAGATGGTCAACAGGCCTTAAAAGGGACCAGGAATTAGATCCACAGAACAAGAACAAGGAAAAGTACACACAGAACAGGTAACAGGCACTTGCCCCATGACCTTGATTATGCTAAGCTTCTGGCCCAGCCAGCCATTTCTTAATAGCTTCCTGATGAGAAGACCAGTTCTGGGGACTTGGTTTTCCCAGGGCCTGCAAAGAAGCAGGGAAAGGACTGCAGCTAAACAGGACAATGTACGTGGAAAAGAGGAGCAGAAATGAAGTCCAATCAATATTCTAAGCCCCTAGGAAACCAAGGGAGCCACATATGTGCCAGAGAAAATCTATCAATAGAGAACTAACATTTCTTTAGCCTATCTTCACTTCTAAAAAAATTGTGTTTCCTGTGACTAACCAAAGAGAAAAGTAGTTTCCATATTGATGACCTCTATCAGTAAATCACAATTTCCTGCAAATCGGCATTATAATGAACCACGCCTGCCTTGTAATTCTTCCTATCTTTGCTGTTACCTTAAGAAACTAAGTCTGAAGCTTCCTGCCCATTAGGGTTTTTTTTAAAAATAATTCATTAATAAAGATAACACATTTTTATTAGAATACTTTATTTCAAATGATATAACACTTTTTGAAAAAAGTAAAAACCATGAAGTTACTTCCCTGAGAATAAAGAAATAATTCCACAAAAAGCTAAATATATTTATAAAAAGTTAAAACAATTAGAGGTACATAATTCTCTGCATTGTCTATTGCTATTACAAATTCATTCTTAAAAGTCTTCTGTCTTTTGGTAGTTTTGTTAATAGTGTAATGACATTTAAATTTCCCATACCTGGTACTTAATGAATCAGTCTGATTTGTCTTTATCAAATTCCAGTGCAATTTTTAAGGCAGTGCTATTGAGGCCAACAGACTGCATGTTACATATGATGGTAACAACCACTCCCCTTGGGGGAATGGCCATCCTTTTATCTGTAGTTTCTACCTCCAAGTCTTCAGGAAGAATTAGCAGGACACTACTAGCACCTACTGCACCTCCAGTGTGAGAAGCATAATGTCGCTGCTGTCTACACGAACCATATATTTGCTTCTTTTCCACAACACCCCATGCCATTGCATATTTCCCCTCTCTATCCCAAGACATCTCTGTATTTGGCACAGGAGTCCAAATCATTACCATGGTTTCTGGTTTGAGGTACCCTGGCAAAAGTTTCTCATTTAAGTTTTTAAGCATTCCAACTTGGTAACCATAGAGCATTGCATTCCCAAATTTAAGAAGGTCACCAACTGTAGAGAGAAATCCACCGCCAGCCCATTTATAGGAGTTGTCCACATAAGGAGTGTTGATAAGACGTCCCTTTTTATTGTAAACATAAAACCTAAGTGAAATGAAATAAGAAAAGTTACGAGTCACTATTTTCAGTAATCTATTTTTGAATATACTAAATGAGAAAAATGTATTTCAATATTATGAGCCAAGAACTAAACAGAATTTTTCCAGTATGATTGAGCATTAATGCAGTATAGATGACTGGGAGAAAGCAATGAACTAGTAATCTTGTCAATTAAGTAGTGGGAAGCTGGTCTATTTTTATAATGGCATGATCTACCCCTAGAAAGGAGCTTATACTTAAGAATTTGTACAACATAGTAGGAAAACAACAAACATTTACTTAACAGGTAACTTCTTTGGTATTTAAACAAAGTTATAATACCTGTTCCTGGTCCCCACACTTACTATTACCTTTGTCACTTTTCCAACTATAAAAATGAAGAACTATTATTCATACCATTAGCAAGTTTAGAACATTACTATCAATCAACAAACAAAAAGTGAGCACCTACTATGTGCCAAGCACTGGGGGGGGGAGACAAATAAGTACAAAATGTAATCATCTGTTCTGAAAAACACAAGCTGAGTTGTACAAAGTCTGAAAAATAATGAAGCAGAGGGTGCAATTCACCTCAGTGAAGATGCTTTTCATACAGGATCTTGTTGAAAAAAATTAATTTCTGAGTACAAAGGACAAAATTGGATAACTTAAGAACATACTATGATAGGCAAAGGGAGCTAGACCTTACTTTGAGAAAGTAATATAATTCATTATAAATATATAATTATGCATCATTACACACACACACACACACACACACACACACACAATTATAAACAATTGGCAGGTAGGTGGTACAGAGGATAGAGCGCTGGGCCTGGAGTAGGGAAGACTCATCTTTGTGAGTTCAAATCTGGCCTCTGACACTCACAAGCTGTGTGACCTGGGCAACTCACTTAACTGTATGCCTCAGTTTCCTCATCTGTAAAATGAGCTGGAGAAGGAAATGGCAAACCACTCCAATATCTTTGCCAAGAAAGCCCCAAATGGGGTCATGAGGAGTCAGACATGACTGAAAAATGACTAAACAACAATTATAAAAAATTAGCCCAATTGCAATTGAATAGAGGTCCATAAAAAGTTATTTTACAATTGCCTGGAAAAATTTATTACCTTCAATTCTAAGTATATTACACATTTCCTTTGATATACAATTTGTGCTTAGCAAATTTCTTTTCCATAGTGCAAAGGTAATTTTAGTATGGACTAGCAAATTATTCAGATTCATCAGGTTTTATGACAGGATAAATGACTCATTATTATGGTCCTAAAGTATTAAAACTTAAATTGTATGATGAAACATCCACGAAGTAGACTATCACCTATTGGGTACTGAAAACACCTTTTTTTAAAGTGTCTCTCCTTTTACTAACTTTCCTTTACCAGCATGAGTCACTCCAAATTACGAAAGTGGCACAGAATAAATCAAATATTGGTAGGCTCTAGTAAAGTTAGGTTATTATGTATTTCCTAGACTGGTTCTAAGGTCTAGAATCATGCATCATATTAATGGCTCATATTTACAAAGCCCTTTTAAGTTTATGTTGTCTTCACAATAACCTTGTGAGGGAAATCCTACTTGTAGCATTACCTTCACTTTACAGATGAAGAAACTTGAATAGGGTCACAGTGTTACAGCCAGGACTTAAACCCAGTCCTCTCTGCCTTATTTCTGTATGAAATACCATATAAACTACTCCTTCAAATCAGACTGTTACCCTGGAAATAGTTCCATGTATAATGCAGTACATAAACAGAACAAAGAAGACAGACAAGAAAGACAAATCTTAATAGCTTAAATGTCCTCAAGTAGCCTGGTTCAATTGCGTTTTTAAGTTTCCATTAGTATTACAATCATAAGAACATTCACACTTGGAGAAAAAAACCAGTAGTAATACAAACTAGAAAGACAAATACCCATCTAAGATTCATTTTTCAAACATTTATTAAGCATCTGCTATGTTAAGAGAACATAGCTAGGCATGGAGGGTAATAAAAAAGATAAGTAAGACAAATGAATTTATAATCTGATACAAGTAAAATATTGAGTTAAACTCTGTAAACTAGCATTTAAGTGCCATGTTAAAATACAAGCTACAAGTGTAATCAGATGTAATCAAAGTAATTTGATTACTTTGCATTGTGTCTAGAAAGAAACTACACAGTGGGAGCATTATTTTCTAACCTGAATGACATTACTTGGAGTTCAACTCCTGCTTGCATGCAATGTCTCCTCCATATTCCTGGCTAACAATGAATTGCTTTTCTGCAATTTTGTCTTTCTAGTATATAATTTAAAAATACTTCTGTTTATACTAAAAGGATTGTGACACTTCAATAATTTCTCTTTTAGTTTAAAAAACTTGGTGAAAATTCTAATTCTATACTTTGATCCTTTAGTAACTTCATAGAAGAGAAATGTATTTTCACACAAATAATTTTGTTCAGTGAACACACTTTATGATTTTATGTTCTTAGGGAAAAAAAGAGATCAAAGAAAGAGGAAAAAGCACATATATTTACAAAAATATTTATAGCAACTCTTGTTAAAGTAGCTCAAAGTAGGGACCTAGTGGGGTACCTACCTATTGGGGAATGGCTAAACAAATTATGGCATATGAATATGGAATGTAATGTTATTGTGCCATAAGAAATGACAAAAAGGAATTTCAAAATGGAAACTGGAAAGACCCCAACGAGAAAAGGGGTTTTGCTCACTGGAAGTAAAATGAGCATGGGTAGGCAAAGTCAATATAATAAAAAATGACAGTACTACTTAAATTAATTTAGTTATTCAGTGTCATACAAAACTACCAAAGAATTACTTTGTAGAGCCAGAAAAAAATAACAAAATTCATCTGGAGGAAAAACAGGTTAAAAATACGAAGAAAATCAATGACAAAAAAATGGGAAGGGGAGCTAGCAGTAACAGATTTCAAATTCCTCTACAAAGCTGTAATTGGTAAAACAATTTGATACTTGAAAAAGAAATACGGAGATTGATCAGTGGAATAGAAATAAATACATTTTAAAATGTGTATTGGTATGGAACATAACAAATATAACAAACTCCTGAAAGACAATATATCATGCAAACTCCTGAAGACAATGTGATTTTTGTAAATTAGTAACAATACGTTACATGCCAAAATCCAAACACCACAGACTTAGTTATTTGAGACACTGTTACTGAGGAAAATATGTTTCTTAACTTCTATAAAATATAAGTCACTCCTGTCACTTTGTATATTATTGTGTTACATGAGAAAGTTTGACATAGTCAATAGTGTACATAAAAGACTTTAATTTGCCAAGATTCCTGTAAATCTCATAAAAATCTTCAGTATTTGAAAAGGAACATTAAGATTTTAATGGAGCCTGTCAGATAAAGGGCAGAGGGCAAAAAACTTAAATAAGTGAGCAATGGTAATTCTCAAACAGCCCAGGAAATGAAGTGTTTGCAGGAAGCAAAGTAGAAAATACTCTGGTACTAAGTCAAGAGATTGTGGATTCAAATTTTACCTCTTTTCCTTACTCTTTACATATCCTTGGGTAAATCACCACCTTCCTAGGCCTGAGTTTCCTTATCAAGAAAATTAAGGAATTGTGCTGGATTGCTTTTGAGGGCTCTTTCCAGATCCTGTGCTATACTCACACAAAAACAAATGTTTTTACAAATATCCATCCGATTTGGTTTGTTCCAAGGAGATTTTTTTGCTTCATGTATTATGCCAAACATATGAAAACACAGTCAATTGTCCCAAGGGTACTTGTGAAAAATCTACTAAATTTTTACTTTCCAGGAATAGCTGAATATTTTTTATAAATTCATATAAATATTTTATTTCACAGGTCAGCTGCTACTTCCTATTCACTGTTCTGTGCTCCTTAAAAGTAAACTAATCAATTGCCTAGGAACTCCCAACAAAAAAAACAAGAAGAGTCAATCACAAATTCATGCATTCTCTGACTCCCTGGCAGACTATTTACAAAAATTTTATGTAACTGGGACATTAAGATTTGGCAGCAGCATGGATATATCTGTTCAAATTTTAGAGAATACATAAATAAGAACAAGAAATCTAATGGTGCAACTATGACGTAGTAGAAAGAGCAGGGACTTGGAGCCTAACAAGATGTAGCTTAAATCCTAACATTGACACTTATTAGTTGTGTGATCCTGGACAAATCAATTAACCTTGATGAACCTCAGCAAGGATAATACCTATAGTGCTTATTGTTGCCAGCATCTAGTATTATTTTATTTATGTGTGTGTATTCATATACACGTATATAGTACTTGCAAACCTCAAAGCTCTATATAAATTTCAGTTATTATTTATGGAATCTAATTCTTCTTCCACATGACAGTCCTTCAAATACTTTAACATAGCTATTATGTTGCCCATAAATCTTCTCTAAACATCCCAGTTTCTTCAACTAATAATCATCACAGGACATGAACTCTAGGCCTTCCTCTGGACTTAAATCAATTTATCAATGCCCTTCCTGAAATCTGGAACCTGAATTGAAAGTAATACTTCAAATATGTGAAGTCTCACTAGGGCATAATACAATGATAGTGCTACCTTACAAGGTATTAAGTGTTTTTCCCCAGAGAAGAGAAAATTTGAAGGTGGAGGGAGTCAGGAAAAATGATAGTTGTGTTTAAGTAACTGAAGCGATGTTTTGTAGAGGAAGGAACAGAGTTGTTTCTATTGGTCCCTGACAGCAGAAATAATAAACTAAGGCTTAAGGTAAAAATAATCTTAAAAATTATAACTATCCAAAAGTCTCTGCCTTGGGAAAAAGTGGGTTCCCCCTACCTAGAAGTATTCAAGCAAAGGCCACTTCTGAGATTTGTAGTAGAAAGCTTATACAGAGAGAGAATGGACTTAAACACTGTTTTAAAGATATTTCCCTGCGTAAGACTTTTCTATGCTTCTTCATTATAAACTGGATCAAGTCTAAACACCTTAGCTTTTACCACTCAAGGTCTTCCACAATCTGGCCTCAAACTACCTTCCCAACCCTTTATCCCCATTGTTTCTCTACTGTATATGTTAACTAACTGGGGCTATTCATTGTTCCTTGAATACACACTGAAATATTAAAACAATACTCAATTTATTAAATGTCCAAGATGTGAGGCTCTGAAAAAAATAAAGGTAACTCTTGCTATGTCTTTTTTGTAAAATAATACTTAAAGCATAAATTTTAAGAAAAATTATAGGCATAAAACATTGAAAACAGCATCAGATCCCTTTTGTCTCTTTAAAAATCACAAACAGGGGTTTCTAAGGTCACTTTTCTCCTCATGATTATCAAGAAAGCATTACTATTGGACTTTAGGGGGCCAAAACATAAACCAAAAAATTTCTCCAGGTATATCTGAAGTCAGATAAAAAACAAACCATGCTGAATTACATGAGAAAATTCATTTATCTAACATTTCCTTCTCCTCCCAGAGTGCTATTCTATTTTAAAAGCTGTATTCTAACTAGCCTAAAATGAATTACTTTTCTCTAAGACTACATATTGTAAATCAAAATTCTGGGAGGAAAAAGTAGAAGGCTACTTTAACATAAAAATAGAAACTCTTTGGCACAGAATAGAAACTGCTTAAAAGCAGGTTAAAAACAATACTACATTTTCTATTTCTGTAATTATACGTCTGAGACTAATTCAAATTGTTCATGCAAGTAACCCATTCTAACAATAGAGCTTTTTTCTCTCCCAGGTTAGAGAAGTTAAGCTCAATAGGTACAAATGGACCCTTTGCTCCTATACATAGGACTAAATACTACAGATCAATCAACAAGCATTTCTTAAATGCCTACCATGCTAAGGCACTATGCTAAGTACTGGGAATATAAATACAAAGAATGAGATTACCTTCTAGGAGTTTATATTTTAACAAAGGATACAACTGCACTCATCAATACATACAGAATATAAAGAAAATAAATACAAAGTAGTTAAAAATGTAAGACAGTTCTAGAGGGAGGCCACTAGAAGTTGGGGGAAAAAGGGAAGAAATGGAAAGGTCTTCATGAAGAAGGTGGTTCTTGAGCCATGTTTTGGAGAAATGGAAAAATTATATGAAGTGGAGGTGAGGAGGGAGTGCATTCAAGGCCTGAAAGATGTGAGATGAAGTGTTATGTATGAGGAATAGCAGTTTGGCTGGATGTGGGAGGAGGAATAATGCATAATGAGGATGAAAGATAGCACGGGGCTAGGTGGTAAAGGACTTCAAAAGGTAAACAGAAAAGTTTAGATTTTATCCTCGAGACAATAGGGAGCCACAGAAGTTTACTGAGTAGGGAGTGATAAAGTCACATCTATATCTAAGAAAAAGCACTTTGGCAGTAATGTGTAGGAAGGCCAGGAAACCAATCAGTCTAGGTGAGAGATGATGAGGATCTCAAATACAATGGTAGTTGTTTCAGTACAGTGGGAGATACGTGGGGAGGTAGAAATGTTAAGATTTGGCAAATGACTGGATTTGTGGAGTGAGAGAGTGAAGAGTCCAGAGTAGGGGTGGAGAACCTGCAGCCTCAAGGCCCTGGTCCAGGGCAATGCCAAGATTACGAACTTGGGTGACCTGAAGAATACTGGTATCTTCGACGTAAACAGGAAACTTTAGAAGAGGGGTAGGTTTGGAGGGAAGATAATGATTTCTGTAACTAACATCCTTATTTTTTCTACACAACATTTTTGAAATAGATTTTTACTGATACCTTTTGTTTTTTATATTGCCCTTATCTCCTCTATATCCCCTCCTCCTCTTTAGCAGTCGTCCTTTGTAACAAATATTTTTTTAAAAGAAAGGAAAACTTTTTGATGAATTGATCAGTTTTGTTCATTCTCCTCCCCCTTCTTCCAATTTTTATTTTCTTTTTAAAAATTACTCTTTGTTATTTAGGATGGCTCTCTGAGAGGGGAAAGAAATATATTGGGAGAAATTGAGACCATGTAAAAACAAAAGATATCCATAAAGATTTATTTTTAAAAAAGAGAAAAAAATCAGTAAAACCAATCAACCTATCAAAAAATAAAATCTGATGTTATACACAATGTTCCATACTAAGAGATCTCTGCAAAAATGAACAAGGAAGTTTCTTCTTGCATCTCATTGGGGATAAACTTGCTCTTCATAATTTTGCAATATCTATGGAACTCAATGTCAGATTAAAAAAAAACTATATCTCAGACATTTTTATTTGCTCATGAAATTTTTGTTAATTTTTTCTCACACTTTCCTGAGTAATACTGCATCTGATGAAAGTAAGCTGCTTAACAGTTATAAAAGGTATAGTACTACGAGCCATTTTACTAAAATTCTTTCCTTATTTCCAATCTTGTTTCTTTTAGAGTCAAGAAAGTGCTTTTAAGTTCTAGGCTGTATTGCAGCACACATTTTAAACCTTCAAAAACAAGCTGATAGTTTAAAAAAATTAGATTTCATACATTTAATAAAAGCAAAGAAATCTATTACTTATCACCTAAAATCATGAGGTTTCAGTGGGAAAAGGAGATTTAAAAATTTTGGTGACTGATTATTTTTGGAAGATATTAAAAGTACATAACCTAAAATTCTCTTGCATGATAGCTACTATTGGGACACTTGACAAATAAAAGTAAGTTTTTATCTTGTTAAATATATAACCATTCTTTAAATAATACTTAGGTACATAAAAAAATGGATGAATGAAAAAGCACAGTTAACATAAAACCTCATCTCAGCTACTAGTTTCAAGATTCTTTCCTGGTAGACCTCTCATAAATTAGACAACTAATAAAAATGACTGAATTGAATTGTATTTCTTCTCTTAACTCTGAAAGGTAGAAGAAAGGAAAATCAGTCAATAACTGAAGTAAATGGCAAGTTAATTCAATACATGTTTGTTGAATTAACAAATTTTACAATTTTTACTATGGACAGTCAATTTTTGAGATCTAAGGGAGATATTTATTCAATCTGGTCTCAGACTATCTTTTGAGTCTCATTACTCATTGCATTGAGTGCATCACTGCACTCCCAATCTAACCAAATTGATGCTTTGTATACCTCACATATTTCTTAAGCATTAAAAAAACTCACTAAGCTGATAGTACCAAATTGAATGTGAAGATTTTACATAAATCATTAACAAGTCATTGCTTAGGCAATTCACCTATAATTTTCTTCATGCAGAAAGGTAATTTCTTCAGGTATTTCAAATTAGGTAATTTCAAATCAACTTCATGGTTAAATTTAAAACTTGTAAAAGTGAGGAATAAAATACTCTAAATGTATTAAATTTTAAGCCTCCAAATTAAAAAAAAATCCTTCTGTCATACTTCATAAACATGTCTTATTTACTTCATTTTACAAATAGGAAGATGAAAGTATGGAAATGCTCTCCTAGTGGGTAGAGCGGATTGTGACTAAATCCACAAACTACATAAACATTGTAAGACACCAGAGAACCATACAACACAATGAGGAAATATTCATTTACCTTGCTCTATTGTAAATCATTGGCTCATATTCTTCTTGCACAGTTGTCACCATATCCAAGTCATGGAATATTTTCTGCATATAGTCCAAAAACTTCTGTCCTGAAGCTCTTTCTACAACAGCTGCTAGCAGACTGTATCCAAAAGTTGAATACAAAAACTGACTACCTTGAGGCATGAGTGCAAGAAAAAAAAAATCATTATTTTAAAATATGTTACCATTGTTTTGACATATAGGGACTCTAAAAAAAAATACTGGAAAAAAAAAAAACCAGCCCATTTTTTTAAACCAGAACATCTTATTCTGATATCGTAAGAAAGGTCATGAAAATATTTTTTTGGCCTCGCAAACTGGCTTTCAAAAGTCATCAGCCCTAAAAAATGTGCACAGTTTCACCCAGGTTAACCAATGCTACTTCTCTTTATTCTTGTCTCATCTACCTCACAAGGTAATTATGAGAATCAAATGAAGATAAGTACAAGGATATGAAAATATAACCATCTGCCTATAGCAAAAGTACCTAGGCAAAAATTTATATGAACTGATCATCTCTACTCTTTCCCTGCAACGAAACAAAAACCAAGACAAAAGGAAGACAATTAAATTTCTTTTAGGTCCACTGTTTGGTTAAGTCACTAGCTGATTTCTTTTAGATACTTGGTATGTGGAACAAGAATAATTTTCAAGGTTAATATATGCATAAAACACTGTTATAATTCAATGAAATTCCTAGTCATCATATTGAAAAATAAAAAATGAAGTATTATCAAAATATATCAGAATTTTATGTAATTATATATTTTATCAGAAAGAACATAATTTGGTTTACAGAAATTACTGCTAAAAAAGGGATTTTTCTCCAAAAGCTATTAGATAGAAAAATAGTTACCTATAATTTAGTCCATTTCTATTTAACATATTGAATTATACTTTGAAAACTATTATTTACCAAATTTCAACACATGAAAGACATAGTAAATCACATCACTAAGGGAATGAAACTACATGGTATCCTTAAATGGGCTAACTTTAAATGGTTGTGCTACTAAATGCTGCTCTTTGTGAGGTTTTAGCTTTGAATAGGCATGAAGTTTCACTTGCAGCAGGACACATACAATCTTTACTCTTAATTAATGCATGAAAGATAGTATCATTTAGGATATCCTGAATTTATTCAGTAGAAACAATGATGACTTCATTAAGAAACAGAATCAATACTCACCTGGTTTAAAGAACAAAGGATCATTTTTAAATAATCTTAGAGACTCAATTGAATTTTCAAACTTTTCTTTCAAATATAATTCATCTTGTTCAAAATCATTCTTTTTCTTGCCAGGTTTTGAATTTCGGCATTTGGCTTCACTATCTTGCTCTGTCTTAGCTTTGGCAAAGTCACTCTTTTCATTACTTTTGCCTCCTATTTCTTTCAAGTCTTTGTCTTGGTTGAATTCCATTGTTTCTTTCATCTTCTTCAAAGCTTTATAAGCCTTCTCTTCTTTCACTTTTTTCATATCCTTTTCATAGTGGCGAATTCCACTTAAATGAGAAATCAACAATCTTGTAGTGACAGAAACCTAATTTTTAAAACATGTAAATTCAAATAGTACAGTAAGCTACAAAGCAGAAACATGTTAAACTAGAAAGGTCACTTTAAAAAAAAACATACAAAGAAAGCATAATGTAACTATCATATTTTCCAGTTCTGGAGCACAGTAAGAATAACAGTTTCCCTTGCAGGTTTCAAGTCCCAAAGCTGAAAGGAAAACCTGTCATTAGTATTTAATGCAAAAGAAAAAAAGATAAGCTATAAAATATTCTGCCACACCCAGGTATAATCCAAAATAAACAATATGACATGTCTGTGATGAAATGTGAATTTCTACCTTTTCACCTTCATATTCTTTCTCTGGAAATTCAGGAACATATTTCTGTACTGGAATATCAAGATCCAATCTGCCCTCTTCCCATAATTTCGCAATAGCCACCATGGTAAGACTTTTGCTGATGCTAGCAATTCTCATCACTGTTTCTGGTTTACATGGAACTCTGTTCTCTACATCAGCATAACCCAAACCTTTAACAGAAAAAAAAATTATTATTAATACATATAAATGAACTTTAAGTATATTCTAGAACAGAGGTATCAAATATTCTCTCTTGTGAGCCCAGCAAGATTAAAACGTAATTGAGAAATATTTAACAAAATAAATAAAAATACAACAGAACATAATGTTGATATGTGATATGTAAGTCAATATCTAGCCTGAGGGATCCTTATGGAGGTTTAGTGGCCAAGTTTGACACCAATGTTCTAGAAAAACTAAGATATTTACATTTAGCATGTGGCACAAAATACATTTGCAGGAAATCGTAAATTGCTTGTTTGAGCTCTTACATATCAACTAAGAAGAACAAGGATTCAAAGTGTCTTTACACTAACATGAAATCAAATACTAATGCAAGCTGACTCAAACCAAAATTATACCTTACTATCTACATATTAACTACATAATCCTCCATTTTATCAACATAATTTGCTTTATTTAATGCTGAGTAATTAAACAAGGAATTATTTTAAGGTGATTTATATGAAAATGTCCTCATCTTGAAAAAGCTGATTATCTTACATTTTAAAATAAATTGCTCAGTACTGTTCACAGTAAACAAAATGTCCTCACAAGATGCCATTTATTCCTGGTTTCACATCAAGAGAACATTAGAAGATCTCTCTGACACTGATTCTTTTTTTTTTTTTAATTTATTTTTTGGCTAGGCAAAGGGGTTAAGTGACTTGCCCAGGGTCACACAGCTAGTAACTGTTATGTGTGTGAGGCCCAATTTGAACTCAGGTCCTCCTGAATCCAGGTCCGGTACTCTATCCACTTCACCACCTACTTTGCCCTCTGATACTGATTCTGTGGAAGTGAACATCAAATTATTTCCTGCAGATATAATTCAGTTCACTATCTACTTAATCCAGATACAAATAAAAAGAAAAAACATTTGGTCTGAGGCCCCTGCAACAATGATACCTCCTGCTTAGTAAGTTTAGGGTTAAGTAAATACTCTTTATCAAATTTTGGGGATTAGGTCACTTCCTCTAGAAAGCCTGACAGAAATATAAGAGATGACTTGACAAATAATATTGATAATGAAAAAAACAAAATTTGGGTATGTGGCTTGTACAGCCAAAAACTCAGGCCAGAGGAATTGGAGGTATTTACCCTGGAGAAAAGATTATTTAGGAGAAGATAACTATTTTCAGGTATTTAAAGGGCTGGTACAATATAAGAGAGATCAGATTTATTTCACGTGGCCTCAGGATTTAGAGCCAATAGGTATAAATTCTAAAAATTTAGGTTTATCATAAGGAAAAATATCCTAACAATTAAGGCTATCCAAAAGTGGAATAGACTTTCTAAGGTGGTGTGGGTTTCCCCTCTCCCTCACTTCAAGCAAAGGCTAGATGACCACTTGTCAGGTATATTTTATTTTACAGGGGATTTGAGTATTTATGCATGGGTTGAACGAATAGGCCTCACAAGTCCCTTCCAAAACTGTGATTGTTGCAAACACTAAACCCTTACAGTATTTTATTAAAGATGCAAAATAACAATTTTATAGTCATAAAGCAAAAAATAAAATACAAGTAAAAATTACTATGTACATCAAGTAAATAATTGTAAGTGAAATATTATGAAAGAAATGTTACATTTGGAGGATGACTGTTCTTTCCCATTAAATTCCTAAGCTTCCATTCTTCCATTCACTTTTTTTTTTGGGAGGCAAGTGACTTGCCCAGGGTCCCTCCCATTCACTTTTACTCAAAATATCTACTGCTTCTGAATGTGGTCTATGTAAATCAACTGCTCAGGTTACAGATAAATACTTTATGGATAAAAACTTTTAACTAGAAATTATATAATAAAACATTTTATTAAATAAATAAGTCAGAGACTCCACTGTCACCTTTAACAGATTTATAAAATTGTGGGTATATTTAAGCAAGCTGGGTTTGCTTGTATTTATTTCCTATTTCTCCCTATATGCATGATGGCTCTGACAATGGACATCACAACCCAAACTTCAACACAAGTACAGGGTGAAGTCTGGCAACTCAAACAGGTGACAGGCATCAAAAGGCAGATAGTTACTAACAGTAACTGCTAGCTGCCAGTCAAGGACTTCTAGGAAAATTTACTTTTGAAAGCTAGTCAAAACTTGAAAGCATCAATTAAATGTGCAAGGGAGAAATGAATAGTCATGAAAGTATCTGTAGATTATGTGGTATGTGATTTACACTGCTTCATTCCAAATGATTTCTAGTTCTTTTGTTATTTTGTAATCAGCTTTCATTTCTTCTTGATGGACAGGAGCATAATTTTCTAAAAGTTTTCATATTAAAAATACTCATCCCCATCAAATTCAGTCTATAAAATAACATTCAAGATTGTCTAGGAAATAAAGTAATAACACTGACCATCTTGTCCTAGTGGCAAAGCTTGGATTAAAAAAAAAAGTTACCCTCAAACTTCTTTTTGTCATTGGCCACCACATTTAAAATTCTGCATTTTACTAAAACAACCCAATCCTGTATTATATCAGAAACAGTCAATTCTGCTTTCCATAATAATGGATCCATAATGGATCTTTCATTTTCTTAAAAGATGAATGACTACTTGTTTTCACACTAATTTACTTCAAGTAACAGTATTTCATTTGCAAAACTGACATTTCAAAACAAGTGATTTAGTATTTTCCTAAGCCCACCTTCTGACCAGACTTCTTTTCCATCTACAGAAACTCCAACTACTATGCCTGGTGCTCCCACCTCATCCTGTGCGTGGAGGGGAAAAAACAAACGAAACAAAACAAAAAACGAACAAACAAACAGACAAACAAACAACTCAAATCAACAGCTTGATCGCCAGATACTTTATCCAAAGTTTGGACTGGGAGCTCACCAGGTGGGGAACCTGACTTCTAAACCTAACTAACACTAATTGCTGGCAAATCAAAGCCTAAAGCACTCCACAACAGGTAGGGATGTGGAGCAAAAAATAAATAAGATAAATGAAAGAAGGAAGCCAAGGTTGGATGATCACTTGTCAGGTATTTCGGTTTGGGTCTTTATGCACGGGTTGAATTACAAGGTCTCAGAAGTCCCTTCCAAACCTGTGACGACGTGTTGCAAACACTAAACTTCTGTTTAAAGGGACTAGTGGGCGTGCTTTATCTAAGGCAGGGAGGCAGAGAGCCGGGGAGGTGTTCCCGGCGGGCATTTCTGCCTAGGCAAGCAGAGGTCCCGTTTGGGAAAGCACCTGACGAAGTTTCCCGGGCTAGAAGGAGGACGCTGCTGATGCTGCAGATGATACAGATGCTGCTAAAGCCGGGAGGCACAAACTCCGGGCGGAAGGAAAGGGCAGAACTCAGAAAACACGCCCACGAATCGTTCCAGATCTTGCACAAGAAGACAAGTCAGGGGGCGAAACTGGGTTGGGGGGAAGGAGTGCCTGCCACTGCCACTTCCTTCTCCGGTAAGTCACTTCGCCCCTCCGAGCCTCAGTTTCCTGACTTATAAAAGGATGGAGATGCACTAGACGGGCCCTAAGGTCCTTTCGAGTGATGCTATCTCTTTTTTTGGGGGGGGGTCCAAGGGCACCCTGTTTTGCAGGCAGAGTTTTGGGGTGCGAGGCTAAGGGTCCCCTCACTCCTCCCCTCCCCCAGGAGCCCCGACCCGGCTCTAACCTTGATCCGGTGCAGCAGGTCCCGGCTGCTCTCGATAGCTCTGGCGAAGCGCTCGGGGGACGGGGGCGGCGGCGCGGGCGGCTGCCAGGGGGGCAGGGCCGGGGCCGGGGCCGGGCTCAGAGGCTCGCCCAGAGGTGACTCGTCGGGCCGCGGTGCTCCGGGACTCGGCGCGGGGCTCGCGCCGCTCAGCCCGCTCGCCAGCTTCGCCCCGAGCGCCAGCCCCAACCCCAGCCCCAGCCCGCCGACCCAGCCGTGCCCCAGAGTCCACTTGGACTGCTGGTGGGACCAGCGCCGTTGCCCGCTCCAGCTCTCCAGGGGCATGGCCCGCCGCGTCGCAGTACCCATGAACCGGTACATGGCGGCGGCTGAGGCCGGACTACCCGAAGTGCTGGCGGCGGCGCGCGCGCGCGCGCGCGGGACGGCGGGAGAGAGGGAGGGACCCCGCGTGCGCGCGCCCGAGCTCGCGCCCAGCCCCAAGCAACTGACCGCGGAGCGGCCGAGCGCCGAACGCATCGAACCCTAAGCCGTCACTCCTGCCGCCTCTCTTTACACGTGTGCTTTTCTTCCTTTCTTTTCCTTCTTCGTGGCCTCTGTCTCTCTCTGTCTCTGTCTTCTCTCCCTTTTCCTCTCTCCTCCTTTCCCCCCTCCCCCTTCCCCCCCCCCTCTCCCCCCCCCCCCCCCCCCGTTTCTCCTTTGTGCACTTTTCCTCTCCCTTCCTGTCTTGCTCTCCCTATTTTTCCATCACCTTTCCTCAGTTCCCCTCTCCTCCTTTCTCTCCAATTCATTTTTCCTCCTTTTCCCCACTTCCCCTTTCCCTTTTTTCTCCATTCCTCATTGCCATCCTTTTCTATACTTTCCCTCTCCCTTCTTTCTCCCTGTTCATTCTCCCTCATTACTATTTTTCTCCAGTTCCCTTCTCTTTTCTCCTTTCTCCCATTCATTCTTCCTCACTGCCATCCGTTTTTCTAGTTCCTTCTCCCTTCTCCTTTTCCCCCATTCATTCTTCCTCATTGCATCCTTTTTCTCCGCTTCCCATCTCCATTTTTTGTCATCTTTATCTTCATCACTTATCTCATTCATTCATAGAATCAGAGCATTCTAAAATAGAAAGAGACTTTAGAGGTCATTTAATACATTCCCCTTACTTTACAAATGAGAAAACTGAGGCCCAGGGAGGTAAATTGATCTGACCGTGGTCACACATTAGGTGGCAGAGCTAGGATTTGAACCTGATCCTTTGTAAGTCTTTGCATAACATTTTTGATCTTGGAATTGTGAGGAAAATTCTATAGAAGATAAAGCTCTGTCTCTGAACACCCAACTGTCTCAGGCCATTAGATAATCTAATCAGGGCCAGGAACTGAAAAACAGATACCAGTTAACTCTCTGGGGATTTGCATTGAAAGAGGACTTTTTACTTAGATCTCTGAGCTTATGAGTGAGTACTCCCTCCAGGCAGTATAAGACCACTATCCTACATCTCCTCATCAGGTGAGACTCTCATTTATCTTTTCAAAATCCTTCATAAAAGAACCCCTTAAACTATCTGTCTGTGCTTCTTTCATTACCTCTGGAATACAGTTGTATTATTTAGGTTGTCTATTGTCTCTCCTTCTTGCTACTTTTTTTCAGTCATATTTGTCCTAGATGATGTCTTTTATTCAGTCTCTACTTCAAGTCAATACTGGCAATATGAATGAATGGGAAAAAATTTTTTCTTAGGTACTTACTATTTTCCATGCCCTGTCCAGGATACAAATACAAAATTGAAGACAGTCCCTATCCTCAAGGAATTTATATTCTAATGAGAGAGACAACACACAAAGGGGAGTAATAACCAAAGGGAAGAGGGTAATAAGCATTTATTAAGCGCCTGCTGTGAGCCAGCACTTTGCCAAGTGATGAGTGAAGCTAGGGGGAGATGACTGACATATACTATCCAGTAGAGGCAGTGACAGTATTGACTTGATTAGGTTCCAGAACTTAAAAAAAAAAATGAGGAGGTGGAGAGAAAGAGGGCTGCTGGGGAGTATGAAGAGAAGAGAACAAGTAATAAAGTGAGGCATAGTTGGATTGGGCCTGGCATGATATAGGGGGTCATTGGAGTCACCAATCAGATGACTGGGGGATAAATGCTGCATTTTTTTAAAGGTACTTTGGGTTACCTGCAATGTTTATTCTTCTGAGATCATATTGTTCCATGCTTCATAACCACATTGCATTGTTGGGAAAATACTAGTGTTAAGACATGGAAAATCATGACCGTGCGCAACTTAGGATATTTGAAAGTATAATACAATTCCAAAAATATGATAAAAATCCAATCTCTTATTTCCACTTAATTCTTGGCCCAAATTATTGTCTATCTGTAGTACCTGTCCCAACTATATTAATATATTTACTGACAGGCCAATTCAATGGGCTGGCTATTCATCTGCTAGCAATATTCTGGGCTGATATAGGCTATACGTGTATGATCATATTAAACGTATTTCCACCTTAGTCATGTTTGTGGTTGTCATCCATTTAGTTTTTCCAGTATTGTTGTCCAAAGTTTGAAGCAATTACTGCCATTGTTATCTGTGAATAGGAGTATTTGGAGAACCTTGCCATTAATTGAATGCCTTCCTTCTGTCTGGATGCTGTAATGGATATCATCCATTTCACTTTTGAATACCTTTGTTGTTGTCAATATTTAGCAACTTATATAACAAAAGTTATCTACATAGTTTCATTTATCAAATTTATATAATTTAACTTATGCAATGGAAATATTGGGGTGGGGGGGGTTTGGAGGAAAGTCTTTGAAAATGGACAAGATCATGGATGGCATATTTACCAAAAAATTTCATTAGCAATCAGTGACCTACATGCCTGCTTTCTTATCTGTGTAAAAGTTTTATGAGCATGGTCTGTGTGTGATTTGGATCTGTGTATTGCAATTAACTGCAAAAGAGGAAGAGCCTTCCCCAGATTCCGAGAGGACTTGTTGCTGCTCTTGGTTGTTAGTTAACTTCCTCCTTCACCCCAACCAGGCTACAAAGGAGTCACCAGGATGTTTTCTGGTCATTGGTACGAAAGAGTTAGCTACGATATCATTCATGGGTTTTGTTCTAGGAAACAAAAATTGACAAGGGTCTTTGTGACCATAAAGATGTTGTGGTCTCCTGTAGAAAACTGTCTTCTAAAGTCAGCACTCACTCTCTCTCTCTCTCTCTCTCTCTCTCTCTCTCTCTCTCTCTCTCT